ATATAGGGAAGATTGAGGGGGAGTGGTCCGTGGGGGTTAAAAAGCAAATATATATCTTTTCTTTCTAGCTATAGATATCGGGGAGATGGAGGGGAGTGGTCCTGGGGGGTTAAAAAGCATATACTGTATATTTTTTTCTTTCTAGCTATAGATATATATAGGGAAGATTGAGGGGGAGTGGTCCTGGGGGGGTTAAAAAGCAAATATATCTTTTCTTTCTAGCTATATATATAAGGAGGATTGGGAGGAGTGGGCCTGGGGGGGGTTTAAAACATATATATATTTTCTTTCTATCTACATAGGAAGGATTGAGGGGAGTGATCAGGGGGGGGTTTAAAACATATATATTTTTTCTTTCTAGCTATATATATGAGGATTGAGAGGAGTGGGCCTGGGGGGGGTTAAAAACATATATATGTTTTCTTTCTAGCTACATAGGAAGGATTGAGGGGAGTGATCGGGGGGAGGGTTAAAAACATATTTTTCCTTTATAGAGAGATATTGGGAGAGAGTGGTGCTGGGGAGAGGTGTAAAGTAAAGGCATAATAAGTAAAGGTATATTGGGGAAACTCACAGCCATTGGGGTGCATGGTGTAGAAATAGGGGGCTCCTTGATCCAAAGGGGAAGGGCTTTGAATAAGGCAGGAAAGGGTCCCAGTTTGTAAGTTTTGGGAGATGTCTAGGAGAACAGTCTTGGGAGTCATTGCCAAAAGGAGGGGGGAGTTCTGATTGCAAATTATTGGGGTCCTTGATGTGGGGTCCCTAATTTGGGGATCTCTTGGTGTGGGGCACACAGGTGGGGTTGCCATCGGCAGAGCAAGAGGGGGCCAAAGGTTGGGGTGTCAAGCCAAAGACCCAGCCTTTTTGTGGGTGCGGGTGGTGGGATCTTAGGAGAACATACAGAGGGGGGGGTTGATAGTTAATCAGTAAGGTGAAAGCAGGGGCAAAGCCAGTCAGAGAAGGGGTGACAGGATAAAGTCCAGTTTGGAAACAGGAAAAAGAAAAAAGGAAGCATCTAGTGATAGTGTTGAGCCGGAGGAAGAGGCGGTGGTTCTGAGCACCCAGAGGCTCCCTGCAAGAAGAAGCTGCTCGCCATCACGGAGATGGTGATCGGTTTGCAATGGCTTTGAGGGGTCTGTGGCTCATCAGCCACGAGCAAGGGGGCCAAGACACCGTGCTGTTCTCCAGGTAAATACACACACTGTGTATCTCAAACCAGTATGAGATAGCCAGTATGTTACTTTTCCCATACAGGTTGGCAGTATCCCTGTGGCCGTTTCCTAGAAATGGAGAAAGCTGCTTTGCTTTGAGTACAGCTCCTGGAATAATTAGGGAGTTGTGGACCTCTCTCTCTGCAATCTTCTTACCCAGTCCTGACCCATATTCCTGATCAGAACCATTGTGGGACATCACATAGGGAGAATCGGCCATTGTTTAGGGAAGAAACCATAGCTCAGTGGCTGGGCATGTGTTTTACACACAGAATCGCAGGCGATGGCAAAAAGCCAGGCAATACTGGGCTGGATGAGCAAATGGAGGAGGACGGAAAAAATTACTTTGGGCAACTGTAACTCTCAAAATCTTCCATTTAATTATTTAGTTAACTGTTCTACCAACCCATCTTATTGAGGGCACATGGCTCCGGGCAGTGGACAAAGGAATGGCCTTTGGGTGTGGGTGATTCTAAAGAGCTGTAGACTTCAAAAGTAACTTTTCCAAGCTCTGATTTATAGTCTGACCTGATACAAAGCAGCTTTCTCTGTTCTCTGTATTGACTTTGTGTAGTCCACTTTATCCTATTTAGTTATTTATTTAAAGACAAAGCAGCTTTCTCTGTTCTCTGTATTGGCTTTGTGTAGTCCACTTTATCCTATTTATTTAAAATATTTTTTATCCTACCTTTCTCCCCACGTCAAGGTTGTGTACCTAATTTTAAAAAATAAACGGTATAAAAGCTATAGACAAGAAATTATTACAGTATTTTAAGAGAATTAAACAAATACCATATTAAAACGCATAGATAAAAACAATACAGTGGTGCCTCGCTTAAGGAGCGCCCCGTTTAACGACGAATCCGTATAGCGATGGCTTTTTTGCGATCGCATTGCGATGCCCC